GGGTGTCATTCACCTTCCTTTGGGAAAACAAAAAACAAAAAAGTGAGGAAAACAAAACAGCAGCAGGGTTGATATCACTTCTCCTGGGCAACGAGGCATCTCTGGAGACCTAAGGAACATCAGGGACAGAGGTCAAAGGCACGGTCATCCGTTATAGGTCTTCAAGATGAGGGAAGTTGGTGGGCAAAGTTTGGTGGGAGCTGAATCTAGCGCAGTGCTCGGTTACGCCTCCAGGGTGGCTTTTGTGTTGAAATAAAACCTCACGTTCTCCTAAAGCGTAAACTAGATTTCCAGAGTCTGGGTTGAGGGATGCCAGACGTTCAGATCCGCTCACCCAGCACGGCCTAGCTCCTGTACTTTCTCCACCGCAGGTGTGTACCGCCACCACCACCCCAAACCCTCACGTTTTCAACAAGCGCACACCTTCATTTGAATTACTGCAACTTGAACCCGCTTCTAACGCTCGTTTCTCTCATTAGCTTAAGTGCCCGTACCGACAGGGACCGAGAGCCCGCTGGAAGAGGGGAGCCCCCCTTTCCAAGCTCAGGCGAGGACAGCAGACAAGGACGGCTCTCCGCAAGAGCAGCCGAGCACAGAAGAACGGAAATTAGAAAGGCATCGGAAACGAGGACGGAAGGACAGGAGGTCCCTTGGCCCGTCCCACCAGCCCACTGCAGGAGGGCAGCTACCAGTGGTGGAGGTTGTCAGCCTTTCCCAGAGCCTGACCGTCCTGACAATTAGCCGTTCCCTCCTACCCTTAAATCTAATCTTTTGGGGGCACTTTAAGCAATTATTTCGTCTCTTTTCCACCAGCGACACAGATACGTTCTTCCCTCCCTCTTTTTTCACGTCCCTTTACAGCTTGCCTTTTCTCCCGCAGAGGTCACAGCCTCGTGTTTTCAAGCCGTTGCCCGTCGGCGGTATGTTCTGGGCTTCGAGCGGTGCCGTTGCTCTCTCGGGCGCTCACCTTCTCTGCAGGAAGGTGTCGGGTGCTGCGGGCAACGCTCAGGCAATGCCAGTGCCAGGAAGAGTGGGAACACCAGGTCAACGGGGCCGTCTGTATACGTGTGTCCTAGGGTGACGCTTTCAGGCTTGCTGTAGGCACCTCCAGCCAACTGCAGCCCTGCTAGGTCATGTAGCCGCTCCAAACGCCAGCTTTTGCCATCCAGGTCTTCAGTCCGCTAATATTTCCCTCAATACCACAACTGTGATTTTTCACAGCAAGTCCTATGGCGACGGGAACGTGGGAGCTCAACACCTGGATTACTTGGGGGTCCACGTCCCTTGCAGAGGCTGGTTTTTTCCTCTTTTTTCCTTCAGTCGAAGCGCAGCAGCCAGTTTTATCCTTCGTCCGTGTCGCCGGCTTGGAGTCCCCTACAGGTCCCCCGCTTGAATGACAAAAGAAAATCCATTTGGAAGCAGCTACTTAAAAGTGGATTGGTTTTTTTTTTTTTCCTTTCTTTTTTCAAAGTGGTTCCATGATGCTGTGAAGGAGCGAAAATCCCCAAAGCACCCCAAAATCACGAGAGCAGCTTAAAAATCATTAAAGAGGAAATATCAAATATGAAAAATCATTGGGAAGAATCTCCTATTGAAGCTATTCCCCTTTGCTTCATGTGTGGACCTCCAGACTTTTCCGTGCAAAACTTGGACTTGACTCAGCTTCTTCTTCTTCTTCTTTGTTTTAATAAATTAAAATTGAGAATGGATTTTTCTCTCATCACGCCAAGACTCCCGGCTGTGATGCCGGGATTAAAAACCATCAAGAACTGCAGGACTCGTGATTTAAGAGCGAGGAGCGGCGAAGCCGGTCCCCGGCGCGGGGAGCTGCGTCTCCAATTTCCCCTTCGGCGTTGCCTCTCCTGGCCGTTTCCCAGGCTTCAGCTTCGGTTTTGGCCCTGCGCTGGTTCTCGTCATCCTTACCCCCTTCTCAAGAAGCTCTTCTACGAGCCAAAAACACACATTTAAAAAAAAAAAAAGAAGGCAGAGCGGCGATGACAGCGCCTGATGCAGAGCCAAGAGAGAAGAAACACCGGGCAGCCGCTTCGTGTAGCAAACGCTCAGCTTCGGGGACTTCCGCGCGTTGAGCAGCCCGTTTCCCGAGTCAAGGGAAGGAAAGCAGGTTTTACGCCCCGTGACGGCCCGAACGCCGCCGCCCCGGCTTGGCGAGCCCAGCACGTGCGAAAACCATCCTCTCCGTCTGTCGTTTCAGGCGCCCGGCAGCGTCTCCCGGTTGGGCCTCGGCCACCAAGCAACCCCCCAGCCCCACACGCAGAAGTCAAGGCAGCGCTCTTTCTGGGTCGCTCCCCTTTCCAAAATTCACCCAAATTCACTTTTGTACCATGCCGGGGTCGGCCCCGTTTTAGGCCAAATGAAGAAGCAAATTCTCGAGAAATCGGGACGGAGGAGAAAAGAGACAAGCCAGCCTCGCTCTTGCAATAAAAACAGCCTTTTATTACGCTTGCTGTCAGGGGATTAGGTTGTTGAACCATCGCTTATGGCTTTGGTGAACATCTGCTCGCAGTCAAGGAGCAACGGTCTTGGCCAACGGCGGCTAGAAAACGTGGAGGCTGAGGGCCACGCAAAGCTTTGCAAATACGGGGATGCGCCGGAGACATCCTTCCCTCTACCTAGAGCGTGAGGCGGTCTATACGCGGCGTCCATACATCCCGGAGATCGTTTTGCGCCTCGTGGGCCAGCCAAGGCACAGGAGAACCGGGCGAGAAGCTGTCGGTTTACGCCGCTCGGGGAGTTTCTTTGGTTGATCCAGCCTTCTGGTGTTTCCCGCAGGTCGAGCCTCCCGCTACCAAATCGCACTAGATTCATGTCATGGCACAAACCATCCGCACCCGGAGGTCTCTGCTGGGAGGACTGCGACGTTCCCAGTGGCGGGCAAAAATCAGATTTACTGGGCTACCATGTTAAGACCGGTCAGGATGAAGCATGAACGGAAACATTCACCACTCGAAGAACCGGGGGCAACAGGATCGCAAGCATTGACAGCCGCAGACACGAGCGACCACAACCAAATCGGCGACGCGTGTGTCGCTTGCACCAAGCCCTGGTACGGGCTTTTCAGCATCTGATCACTGGAGGGCTTGGTGGGGGGATCACTGGAGGTCCCCGGGCTCCCAGGGGAGGATATTGTTCCCCCGCCCTGCAATGGGGCACCAGACGACCTACAGCAGGGCCTCTTACGCGGGGAGATCCCAGGGAAGCAACAAGGAGGTTTCTGGTTCCCTTGCTGGGAGACTGCCCTGCACATCCCTGAGGAGCAAAATTTGATAAATAGGTAAATAAATAAAAATAGAAGTCTCCAGACCTTCTCGTGGTGGGCTCCCAGATCAGCCCAAGCTTTGATGGGGCGCCACGTAGAGTTTTCCTTTCGACTGAGCGCCCCCGGAAAAGCTTTTGGACCTCAGCAGGTTATAAACCGCGACAATTTATCCTTCCAAAACCAGACAGCTCCCAGGGATTAGGTCAGAACGAGAGAAATAAGTGAAGGGCGTTGTTTAAAGTCTCCCTCCACCACTACGTCCTTGCCGGTGGCTCCTTGTAGCCGGGCTTGATCTCAGCCCCGCAACCCCGCAAGCTTGCTGGGTTGCAAGAAACTCTGCAGAAACGCCCGCAGATCCCCAGAAAACGCCCGTCCCCTTGCTATCGCCACCAAGCCCGGGGCTGCGCTCAGGGGCCCCGGCGCCCTCCTGAGCTCTCGCCCACCCACTCATCGGCCACGCTGGTCTCTTTGGGGTTCACTTTCACCAACATCCAGGAACGGGGAGGGAGGGGAAGAGCTGAGGGTACCATCTCGCCGTCACCTTCTCTAAGCGCAGGCGGACGA